CCCCCGCCGACTTTCTTTAGAATTGAACACAGAGCAGGATCTGGCTTGTGCTACAGGACGAGGAAAGCCTCAGGTGCCCAACACTTTATTTTTCTTTTCTTTTTTTAAAAATATGTTTTTATTGATTTTGGAGAGAGAGAGGAAGGGAGAGGGAGAGAGAGAGTGAAACATCGATGAGAGCAGAAACATCCATTGATAGGCTGCTTCCTGCACGCCCCCTACTGGGGATCGAGCCCAAAACCCAGGCATGTGCCCTGACAGGAATTGAACCATGACCTCTTGGTGCATGAGACAGTGCTCAACCAACACTTTCAAGGGTTCCGGGCAAAGCTTTCTTGCTACTTTTGTTGTTTTTTTGTGGCAGCCTGTGAGCCACTAGGGGGTCCAGCTACAAACACGATCCCCAACAAGGCCTAAGGATAAGCCTGCCCACACCTATTCCAGTTCCATTTGGCACTGCCAGGGGCACGGGTTGGAGGCCCCTGCAGCACTCCCTCCTCCTGCACAAACTGTCTCCCTTCCCCCCCTTCATCCCCCTTTGAGCTACTTAGAGGAATCAACAGCTCAGCTTAGTTTAGCTTTAGCTGGCAAATCCCAAAGATGGATATGCCTCATCCTCCTGGCTGTCTCTGGAACTGCAGCATGGGCTCGGCCAACGTGGCCCACGGAGATGCTCATGTGGGGTCCAGCAGAGGAGTCTTGCAGGAAAGGGGTGCCAGGGAGCTAAACTGATTGGTGCCTCCTGCTTTTTGGTTTCGGCCATTCCCAACCCCTTCGCTCTCCAGCATGGGAGGAGATCAGAGCATCCTGCAACCACTGGTGGGTCCTCTCAGGCTGCGAACCTCCTGGCAGCTGACCTGCTTTCCTCACTGGGACATTCCTGTGATTAAAGAGGAGCCCTGCCTGGCCGGGCATGGCTGAGTGGTTGAGCATCGACCTAGGATCCAGGGGATCGCAGTTCGATTCCTGTTCAGGGCACATGCTTGGGTTGCAGCTCCATCTCCAGCAGGGGGCGTGCAGGGGGCGTGCAGGGGGCAGCCGATCAATGACAACTCTCTCATCACTGATGTTTCTATCTCTCTCTCTCCCTCTCCTTCCTCTCTGTGAAATCAATAAAGATGTATTTTAAAAAAGGGGAGGGGAGAGCCCTGTTGTAACCCACTCCCCCCACCCCACTCACCAGCAGAGGTGGGGCCAAACAGCTCCTCAGGACGTTGTAGGCAGACAACCACTGCTCCTCTGGTCCTGGTTCATTGTGGCTCGGCACATAGTGGGCTGCCACGCGGCAACAGTGAGCCACACAGCCTGCTGGCCCGCTCACGTGCACATCCTCTACAGGTTACAGGATTGCATGGCGTTTGTTACACACCGTCCCCACTTCGCATCCTGAGTGGGATGTTGCCCCTCCCATTTGACAGGTGATGAAGCTCAAGAAGCCCAGGAAAGGGACTCTCAAAGGTCCCACATCCAGTGAGTTGCAGGAAGAGACCTCAAGCCCAGCCCCTCTGACTCTGCGTCCCAGGCTGTCCCTGCGCCCTCCGCATCCCTCTGCAGGCAGCCACTCACTCCTGCATTGAGTCAGCTCATGGTCCTGGAGTGCCACGCACTGTGCTGAGGCAGTGGATGTAGAGGCAAATCCAGTGTGTGTTTGTCCTCAAAGAGCTCGCTTGTGACAGAGCACAGAGACCTGGGAAGAAGCGATGGTCATGCAGGACTGCAAGGGCTCAGAGACCCGATAGTATGAAGAGCTGAGGGTGGTTCTTACCGTGTGCGAGGCACTACCCAAGAGCTTTACGTGATTCAACTCATTTAATCCTCCCAACATCCCTCCGATGCAGGTTCTGTCGCTGTCCCCATTTTACAGATGAGGAGGCAGATGCATAGGGGTTAAAGCTCACTCTGGCGACACAGCTGGGAAGAGCTAAGACTTGAACCAGGTGCTGCACTGAAGTCAGGGAGTGCCACAGGGAGGTGGTATTGAAAGTGGACTGCCCAGGGGGGCTGTGGGTGGTCCTGGCTGAGGGGACAGCATGTGCCAAGGTGCAGAGGGTAGGACACTCAGTCCAGGGCTTGCCCAGAGCCTGGGGCCCACTGCAGAGAGAGGAGTGCTGGGGGAGCCTGAGGAGGCCAAAGGTGCAGGGCTGGTGTGCCTGCAGGTGCAAGGCGTGGGGCTGGCACAGCTGCCAGCCGGAGCATGTTAGTGGGCAGCACTGCCCGTGGGAAGTAGTGGCAGAGGCAGGCCCAGCTCAGCCAGGGAGGGCCTGAGGCCTGCGGCTCAGCCACCTCAGGGCACAATGTGCTTGGAACACACTGAGTAGTGCCTCTGGATGTGCAGCTGCTCCAGGTACTGAGAGAAGTACCCAGGAGTCCAAATGCTCTTCAAGGCTACTCCCCCACCCAGACTTGGGCAGGCTTCGGGGGAAGAATCTGGATGGAGTCAGACAGCCTGGGCTTCATTTCTGGTTTTTCCCAGCCAGGCAACCTTCGACTAGTCGTTGCTCTGAGCAGATCTCTCATTTGTAAAATGGGGATTAGAGGCTCTTCCCTGCAGTCCCCACAGGGTCTGTGGAGAAAAGTACTCTGCAGCCCAGGAAGCTTATAAATTCCTGGCCTAGCCAGAGCGAGCCCAGGACGTGTGAGAGAGAGATGGGGGATGGAGCAGGGGGAGGGAGGGCACAGGCTCTAATCCTGGGAAGATAGTTTTATCTGGGAGACAAAAAGTAGGCACACAAATCATGTGAAACAGAAATGACTTTGGTCCCTCCTGGCTACTATGTGGCCACTATGTTCACACCCAGAAATTCAGTTTGAATCCTGGCTCTGCCACTTCCTGGCTGAATGACCTTTGGACTTTGGTGCTAGACTTTCCCTACCTGTAAAGCAAAGGTAATAAAACCCACCATGTGGGGTGGTAAAGATAAAAGAGAACCGTTTAATTGCAAGTTCTCTGCCAGTTTTAAAGCTCTGTAACCTGGGAGTCTTCATTGTAGGGCAGGCTTTGGGGAGATGGTAGATCTTAAAGGGCAAGTAGGGCAAGACTCCTGCCAGAGGATCCTTCTAGCCCACCTCTCCCACCCCCATCTCCCCTGTACCTGGTGGCACCTCTGCACTCAGAGTTTCCAAAGGCACCTGCCCCATATACTGCTCTTGGTATAAAATGCCCTTCCCCCATCTCCCTTCCTACTCTGCCCTCAGGCTAGAATGGTCATGCCTTTCCTTGTTCGCCTTCTTTACCCTGACCTGTGTCACAGCGCATCCCAACCATGGTCCTTATTTGTGAGGGACTCCCCCTACCAAGCTCCCGGCTGATGGGCTGTCTTGTTCACCCCTGTCCCCAAGCCTGAACGTGTTAATTTATTCAATAAATGTTCTCGAACTCCCCTTACAGCCAGGCTCTCCGTGTTCTGGATACTGTACGCAGTCGGGCAGTCTGTTTTCAAGGAGCTCACTTTCATGGAAGGAAGAGAGAGACAGTGAACTCTAGATAAACCTGTCATTTCAGATTGTGATAGGTACCACGAAGAAGATAAAATACAGCACAGGGACTGACACAGTCGCAGAAGAGACCGCAGTAGTCTGCAGATGGGACTTGTATAGGATCGGGCAGGGATCTTGGCAGCTTGGCCCCAGGGCAGGGCTGTTTTCACAAGTAAACAGGGTGGGGCTCACCCAACAGCAGTGATCCACTTGTGTTCTCTAGATTCCGGCCCTGGAAAGGCCCCTTGGGATGTCCTGTGACACTCTAAACTGAAGTGGAGTGCTGTGCTGGAAAGAGGGCTAAGGGCTCCACCCAGGGTGCCCCACCCAAGGGTGGGCCACACCAGAAGTGCCAGGCTACACCACAGGCCCTGGGCCTGCCCCTCCTTTTCCCCAGACCGCTGGAGGCTGGCTTGTGCTCCTTCACCCTGGCTGCCTGCACCCCTTGGGCAAACGCTTACAAAGCACCTCCTCTGAACCTGGCTCCAGGACCTTCGTCCACACAGTCACACTTACTGAGCACTGACTGTGCCCAGGACAGTGGTGAGCACAGTTACATGGGGAGAAGACATTGAATGACACCGGTATTCACGGCAGGTTTTTTGTTTTTGTTTGTTTAATCCTCACAAAGGATATTTTTTCCATTGCTTTTCCGAGAGTGTGGAAGGGGGAGAGAGAGAGAGAAAAACA